TAAACTTGGATCAGAGGGAGGAAAAGCATTAGCAGATGCACTTTGCAAAAACACCACGCTGACTTCATTGGATCTTGGAGATAATCAACTTGGATCAGAGGGAGGTATTTTGTATTGGTTAATTAAAAAACCAAAAGTAGGAAAAGCATTAGCAGATGCACTTTGCAAAAACACCACGCTGACTTCATTGTATCTTGGTCGGAATCAACTTGAATCAGAGGTCGGAAAAGCACTTTGCAAAAACACCACGCTGACTTCATTGGATCTTAGTTGGAATGAACTTGGATCAGAGGTCGGAAAAGCATTAGCAGATGCACTTTGCAAAAACACCACGCTGACTTCATTGTATATTTGGGGCAATAATTTTGATAAAATAACAAAAGAAAGATTGGAAAAATTTAAAATAAGCATAGGATTGTAAATAATAGTTAATGAAGTATATAAATTATAAAACGATAATGTTAAGACATTATCTGTTATGATAATGTACAATGATGTAATTTTCCGTAAGCCAACGATAAATAAATTTTAACTATAATAGTTTTGTTGTCTTATTAAAAATAGGAATTTAAGTAAATTAATATACAGTGATTCGGAAGTTGAATTCATTTTACGCATACGATAGTTCTATCCAGTCAAGCAAATCGGTAATAATAATAATATTATTAATTTAGAACTTTACCAAAGCGTTGATTACATGAAGGATAACTCAAATTTGGTAGACTTCGCTCAAGATTGGACCAGGTTATAAGGGCCTTTAGAGGGCTTTTAGTAATAATACTATCGTTAAAAAACAAACAAAAAATATCCAATACTCGTAAAAAATTTGAAAGGCCGCCGAAAGAAAAACTTCAATTATACCAAAAAAAGTACTGCGTTAAAAAAACTATAATACATGTGCTCATAGTAAAAATCGGTGTATTTTACTTTTACTTTACAATTTACCAAACTAAAACATAATAAACTTGTTTGTTATTTTATACGAAATTATAAATTAGAATAATAAAGAAATATATTTGTTTAATTAAACTAGTTTAAATCTATTTATGGCTCACTTCGAGGGACGCACAAAAAACAAAACTTGGATAACGCTATAAAAAACTCTTCTATATTATACTCTCCTAGGGCAACAAGCCCAAGAAACGGGAAAAGAAAACTTTTAACTTTCAACATGAGTAGTCTCAGGAATAAAAAGCTTAAGCTTTCAAACCAAAAAATAAAAAACAAAATCTTCGATCTTTCATTAAGCCAAGAAGAAACTTTTGACAAAACAGAACACAGGCTTAATACTAGAGCAAAAGATAACTTGGAAACTAACTCAGAAAAAAACTTTTCAGAAATCACTAGTTGGGTTGACAAGGTTGAAACAGAAATATCTTTTGAAAACAAAGAAAATTTTCTTGCTATGTAAACAAAAGAGCCTCTAGTAAACAAAGAAAAAATAACAAAAGAAAATTTGATGAAAACAGATAATCAAAACAAATACGTGTTCCTCAACAACAAACATGTGACTGAAATTCAGGAGTCCACTTTCTCCTAATCAAATACAAGTATTATTACAAATAACCAAAAAGGTAGTACTTCGTTAACAACTCCTCCAAGCCTAAGTAATGATCAAATCTCTTTACTAAGTTAAGAGGAGGCAAAGTAACCTTTGTTCAATCCTTTTCTAGGTTTAGAATTCACTTCAAAAATGAGAATACTCTCATTTTTGATATTCAAAATTTAAGCAACATCACTAATAATGATATCATCTTAGCTCTTGCAACAAAATTAGGAAACAAACTAGTAGCAGCTAAAGCTCATATTATTAAGGGCAAAAGGTTTACTTAAAAGTTGTATTTGACAACAAGAATTTACAAAAATTCTATGAAGAAGAAGGAATTAATCATTTCAAACAAACTCTCTTTAGTTATATTTCTTTTAACTTCAAACACACTTTTTTCTTAGTCAAGCTTAGAAATACTCTAATAGAAGATAAAGATGAAACAAGTGCTTTTATCAGAGAAGTATTCTAAGACTTAGGATCAATTGCTTTAATTAAACCTCTTCTCTTTAAAAGCACCTTTGTTTGCTTAGACCAATAGATCATCTCTTTTGAAACAACAGATAACTCAGACCTGTCTGCATAATTACTCAGAACTACTTATATAGAGGATCACAAGGTTACTACTGACTGGAGAGAAGCCCCAAAAGTCTGCTATTACTGTAAAAAAAAAGAGTATATGAAAAGAGACTACAAAGAACTCAAACACTCAATTGAGCTAAGATGTCTACACAAAGAAAAAAGGGCTCAAAAAAATAAAACGGCTACAAGTCTAAATCTCTCCTTCAGTACAAATAATCTATATATTAATAAAATAAATAAAACAATAAACCTCTTACTGAAGAAGCAAGCATAACTACTACTTGCTGTCAAGAGCTTCTTCTTGTAAAACTAGCAACAGAAAACTTACCTCTAATAAGCAGTGACTCAGAAATCCAAGAACAACTATTAACTACAACTTCATCTTTCTCTACAAATATGGAGATTGAAAATATCAACACTGATTATGATTTTGTTCTAATAGAAACAAATAAAAATAACAGTACAGATAATAATATATCTACAACAATTACTACAAAAATACTCAAAAACAAACCTAACAAGAAGGAATAAAATCATATCAAATCATCAGAACCTATAAGAAAAAGAGATCTTTTATTTGACAATAAAACAAAAGGTAGTTACTATCAAGAGTATTAAAATACTCAATAACTAACCTAACAAACTTTTTCTTTCTTATAAACAAAATCAAAATAGCAATACTGAATATTAAAAGCTTAAACAATAAGTCTAAAGTACAAAGAACAATTACACTTCTAAAGCTATACTCTTTCCTATACTCTGTAAAAATAAAAACAAACAACAGGGAAACAGTTTTATTGACAAAAATATAACAACAAAGCAATTAATTAATTAACTAACAGAGAACTAGGTATCTACTAAGAGGCAGACCAATACAAAGATTAAAAGGAAGAAGATATATATAACTACTTCACTAACTATCTTTACAAATTTGTTGCTAACAATGTCAGCAACAGACAATATCAATGCTAACATACTAGACAGCAAACTAGATATATATATGAAACTAAGTGATACTGATATAGAACTAAAGAATTACATTTCAAAGAGAGTTAAGAGAAATAATACAAGTTCTTTTACAAGTCAGTCTAATACTTTACGATATTCTCTCTTGTCAACTTCAAAAAGTGGCAATTGTCTGTTACCTCTAACAAAACAACAAATGACATTATTATAGACCACAATCACAACAGATCAAAATATTCTTATGCCCAACATAGTACCCCAAACCGTGAGGAAAAAAATCTATATCTAACTAATATAACAACTGATAATCATACAACAACAAATACAAATCTTCTAGAAGTTGTTACAACAGATCATAATATTGACAAGATTGATAATATAGAATTAGAAATACAGTTAAATAATACTATCTCTCTTTTCTCTCGTAGCCTAACTTCAACTAAACTTACATACAGCTCAGTACTTAGAGCTAATATAGTTGATACACCAAATATTAGCAATATAACAGAAATATAGCAGAACCAAATTATAATAGCTTTACAAAACAGGCTTGAACAAACTTTTGATACTCAGATCTGACATTCTCAAAAAATTATTGATGCTTTTGCATCATGTGAAGTACTGGAGATATTCTTGCAACACAAGATTACAACTAAAACAACTAATATAATAATACCTTTAGCAATCATACTAAAATTTAAGTATCAGGATATAGCCTTCTTTAAAACTTTTACTCGCAACAAAGCAACTGAACTACAATATCAAACAGAGTTCAATCGACTACTAAGAGTTGCACTAGAAAAATATAAAAACTAATACGACATCTTACTGATCAACAAATATAATAGGAATCAAATATTTCAAATGCTCAAACAAAAACTAGTAATTGACTATATCTGAAACATAGACATCTAGCTTATAAGTTCTCATGAAGCAATACAAATACTATTTTACTGTATTTATTTTGCACAAATACTATGTGAAATATTCTTTGAACAAGTACGCTTAATCATTCAAAATATAGTTGCAAATCAACTTCAACCACTACCAATAATATCTGATTTTATATCTGAAGATATCAGCAAAATTATTCCTTTTAGTCTGCCTATTACAGATTATAGGCAAACAGGATCAATTGTTTTATCACTCAGAAAAATCTTTATCTTTACAACTCTGCTAGATACATACTTCTCTGATACATATATAGAACTGCTAGATAATCTATCAAAGCTAGATGAGTCAGTTAAAAAAATATTTTCTATCACTGAATGATCACAGTTAGCAAGACTTAGATACTATAAAGAGAAATTAAACATATGATACAAATGCAAACGTATACTAGCATCATACTTCAATCTTCTACTACCAAAACCTAAATTACCTCTTATACTTTAGAAACTAAAGTCTATGCTAAAGAATGACTTTCTATTCCAACCCAAAGATGCTAGTGATTTTAGACGATATGTAGACTGATTACGAGAATACTACTAATTTAAAAGAATACTAAATAATTATATCGTAGCTAAAAAATACCTGCTAACTAATCCAAACACATTGAAAACACAAGGAAAATATATATTTCCAATAACAGATATCACTATAGCAAAAAGATTTCTTACTGAAATCAAACATACATATCGTATCCCAATACTATTTCCACTTGTCTATATAACAGTTAACCTAACAGAAAAACTAAATCTGCTATAGAATCCAAGACAAGTAGAACATATTAATATTAATATACTAATCACAACTCCTAAAGTATTAACTGAAACAGCAAGATTACTCTATCAGCATTACTATTTTCATAAGATACTAGAGATATGGATACAGATTTCAAATGAAGATAGTGAAATCAAACTTTCAATATCTATAGAAGGTTTTAATACTTATATGAGTAACCAAACTGAGGAAATCTGAGTACTATTCCTAGTTGACTCATACAAAAAACTACCTTAAACTATCATATTCTTATTAGAACACTTCAATACTACTTCATTACCTACATATCTTAACAGATTTCTCAATCTACTAACATCACTCTAGAATCTTTTTGATAAGGACAATATTAATAAACAATAATATGAATAATCAAGACATAACTATACTAGATCTACATATAGAAGAAAATGAATATATAACTAATACAACCAACCTTCAAGCCAATAATCAATTCACAAATATATTAAGTTCATATACCAATAATAATGAACAACTTACTAATCTAAGAATAGCTATACACAATATGCAGGGTATCAATATAGCTCTAAAAAAAACTTATAGTTAGAATATTGTAATAGGCAAGACTATCACATAGTTCTTATGACGGAAACAAAACTTACTAAATCTCAGAATCTCAAGAGATCTCTAATTAACCCAATATACAAGATATATACTTCATGTACTACAACAAATTAAACAAAAACGAGAGAATTAGCACTTGGTACAGCAATAGCAATTAGACACTATTTATAATACTATATACATAACATACAAACAATACCAGGTACTGCGATATATATAGATTTTTTCTTTCTACAAAATAATAGAACAAGAATTATTATAGTGTATTTACTAAGTAACAATAGCAATTTATCAAAACAAATACAGCATAAAATAGCTAGTTGGATAAATTTTAGCAGAGCTAGATCGATGAATATCTTAGTTCTCAGAGACTTTAATAGTCATATAAGTCAAAAAGACAGTAATAATACAGTACTACTCTTTAAAACTATGGAAGTTAATAACATGATCAGCACTTTGTAACTTAACAAAATTTTAGAAGCAACATAGAGAAGAGATCAGCTATTATCATAAATTGATGACATATGAGTATCAGTATAAATAGCTAACAAGTATAATACTCTAATATTAGAACCATTCATTCTAGCTACTAATAGTAACTATGCAAATTTAATATTAGAATAGCAGATGATTGACTCAGTACCAGTGATTCAATGAAAAAAAACAAACTAAGAAAGTATTTATATATTACAAAATGACAGAAGATATGTGACAACAATTTTCAGACAAAATTGAAACCAAAATAAATTAGCAAATCACTAGTCAGATTAAAGACGAATAAACACTTAACTAGACCTGGTATTAACTTAATATAATTATCAAAGAAATAGCAAACAAAACTATCTCTAGTGCTAAACAGCAACTATTTAAGTACTAAGCTTATACTTATAAGGCAACTATACTACATTACGCATTAACTAAAGTTAACAAAGTTATTAAATCAGTTATAATAATGAAGCTACCACAGTCAATTAAATAGTTAATCCAAAAAATTAACAAACCTCTACAGTCAATTTCAGCTCTGCTACAAGATGAATTAATTGAGATTAGACCAGAAAATTTAGAATACAGACAAATAGATAATATAGTACAGCTGCTCAAAAATATGAGAAAAATGATTTATACAGCTAGAAATACTGAAAATCAAAGCGAAATTAGAGAGCAAATTTATGCTACAGTAGCAAAAAGATATAATAACTTCTAAACTAATACGAAAAAGATGATTAACAGCATACTTAGAAGATATACTGATCTAGTCATATTTAATAACATAATAATGTCATCTGATATAATTACTGATGTAACTGAAATCAAAGAAGAAGTTAGCAGACATTATTCAAATTAGACAAAACTTAACCTAATTAAACAAGACTAATAGCCAGAATAGGAACAGTTCTATAAACTATTATATGTAGTTAATCATAAGTAGTATCAACTACTATCAAATGTAATCACTAAATATAAACTGATACAAACTATTAATGAAGCATCATTACATAAAGCAACAGGGCCTTATGGAATATCAAACAAGATGATAAAGAGATTACCATCAAATGCAATACAAGTTTTGCTCTCAATCTTCAACTTCTGTTTAAGCTATAATATTACACTTAAACAGTGAAAACACAGTCTAGTATATCCTATATCAAAAAAACCTACTTTCAAAGGATTACTAACACAAACTAGATCAATCACATTAATTGAATATACATGCAAATTATTTACAAAAATTATAAACACAAGACTAATTAGGATATTGAATAAATATTCCATACTAGTACTACAAAATTATGCTGCACTTCTACATACATCAACAGCTAAACCTATAATAGATCTAACTCATATACTCGAAGATGCATTAATCAAAAATAAGGAATATTGGATAGTAACCTAAGACATATCTAAAGTATACGACTCAATCTATCTACCACTACTATGGACAGCAATGAGAAGAATCAAATATTCAAAAAACTTTATAGCCTTTCATACAAGTATATTTCATAATTAACAAAACCAAGTGCTAACAAATTTAGAAAAGTCACCTACTTATGAAGTCCAGAATGGAATAGATTAAAGAGAGATGATATCATCTATTTTATAGCAAATCTATTATGACCCTCTTATTTTACGAATAGCAAGAGAACATAAGGTTTATACTCTAGAAACTTCAACATCAGAACCAAATAGCCAAACATTTTCTTCTAATATATCAGTCATAGCCTTTATGGATGACATGACATGAGTAGCTGATTCAGCAACTA